CAAGCATGTCAAACTTGCAGCCTGTGGCCCACAACAAATATTTTTTTGGCCCAGACAATATAATCCTATATAATAAAAGCATAGTATTCAAATTGTCCCCTCAACTGGGAGTTGTCTGGGAGTTCAACCAGGGGGAAAAGGGGTGGGGCGGGCCCAGAGGGAAAAAGAGGGAATACCTGGCTGACAGCTAGCAGCTGGCAGCCAGCAGCCACTAGGGACCCTCCTAGTGCATGAATTTCGTGCACTGATTATCTAGTGGTATATAAGTAATGTTTTAATAAAAATTTTGTAACTTAATTTTTACAGTATCCTGTCATACATAATTATTAATAACTACAATGTTCACTAATGACTTATTGCTATAATTATTGTGTTGCATTTATTTACCTTACATACCTTATGCCCAGGCACACCATTTCTCTCCACTAATACTAGCAGTGAATATTTTAGTAGCCGATCCACATCATTAGTCTTGGACTGACTTGTTTGATGTGTGCAACAGGGAATATTTCACTTTTGGAGAACAAGAAAAATAGGTTTATTTGCATTATGCTTATTAATTTGTGCAGTTAGTCAGTGTCTGGTAAGTTAATGTTCAAGAAAAATATTAATTTTTATTAAACTGTTCTATTATTTTATGTTAACAATTACTCACTTATTACAGCCCTTTATATCGAGCAGGTCCCTATAAAAAAAACAAACCCATGTTTATATGAAATTTGAAGTTTTCGTTGTTTCGCAGGCCACTTAAACTTAAACCTTGCTTATTTGGCCTGTTTTAGCCTTTGACAAGCTTGCTCTAAGTAAGCCTTCTTTCACCTCCACCCACCCCCTCCACTGTTGCAATCACCATTCTGTTGTCCATGTCCACGAATTCTCTTTCTCGGTTTTTTTTTGTTTGTTTGTTTGTTTGTTTGTTTTCTCTCAATTGCTCCAACCCTCTCAATACTCTCCCCTATACCAGAGCTGTCAGCCTGCTCTCTATTTATGAGTGAGCTTCCTTGGAATTTCGGTCTCCTCTTGATTATGCACAGAATATGTTGAGGAGAGTACAGAAAAGTTAATGTAAGTTTAAAAGTCAATAAAGTGTTTGCACAACCTTGTGACAGAGCCATGTCCTTGAACATGGGACCCAGGGAGAGGTTCTTCATCTTACACTCTGCTGCCTGAAGATTCCACAGCATGCTACACAAGTTCTTTTAAAAAATCAGCTTACCGTGTGGGGGAGGAAAGAGATCAAAGTACACTCTTCAAGATCACTATACTCAGACAACATATTTCATCTTCTGGAATAATCTGCTGCTCCTTGTCTTTCCCTGAGGATCTCTGCAGAGATTGAGTGAGAGAACAGCTTTGCAGGTGAGAATAAGGGAGAATCATTGCTCTGGGACCCCTCATCTCTCTTTGCTTCCCCTCTGTGGGGGAGTGATTCACAATGCTACTGTTGGGTGTGCATGAAAGTTTTGGAATTTTGCAGGGGAAAATAAAGCATTTCCATTTGAGAAATCTGTATTAGGAACCTAGGGTGTATGATGCAATACCCTAGTTCTGTGAGAAATTTTCGATTGACTAAAGTCAAGCTTTTGCTCTGAATTGGTAAATAAATGTGAAAAAATTAAGAGTTTTCCATTGGTAGATAAGTAACAGAAAATGTAACAGCCCATGGGGAGAAATATACTGGCAAAGGTGACATTTATATAGCATAGTTTGTACGTGCAAATGTTTATTTTTTTTAAATTCTGGGTAACAATCTAAGGTTTTTTTTTCCCTTGGATAAATAATGTCTAGGAAAATTACAATCCCTGCTTGGAGCTTCAAAAGGACAATATAGATTCTGGTACAAGGACTACAATTCAGATGAGATTAATTATTAACTGAAAGGCATAAAATAATGTAATTTTAATCTCAGATTAATGCCATTTTTTCCCACCTTCTTTATGCTAATTTTAAGCTTCTCCCATATGGCACCATATATATCATAAACTTCATATGAATGGGTCTTAGAGTAGTAAAGTAATGATAGGTCATTCCTTAATTACCATGTGTCAGATTCCATGGATTCTCCCACATTTAAACTTCATCAGAAATTCTTGTGCAGAAAAAGAGTCACTCAATAGACTTTTTGGATGATATGTGGTTAAATTTTGCTTCTACTAATGTAGAGAATACTGATTATAATAACTAATTGATTGGTTATTATGTCCCAGATACTCTTCTAAGGAGCTTACATGTACTGATTTATTTAACTGTTCAATTACTCTATGGTGCAGGTTCTATAGTCATTGTTATTTATAGAGGAGAAAATCAAGGCACAGAGGAATAAAGTGACTTGCCCTATGTCATATAGCTTCTAATTGGCAAAGTCAGGCTTGTCATGAATGGAAGCTTAATCTCAAAGGATGCTCATTCATGCTTAGAGAATATATTTCTTAATCTCTGTGAATCCTTAATTACTGGAATGTTATATGATATAAAAATAAAAATACAATTTTCAGAAATATTTTTTTAAAGTTTAAAAACATTAAAAAATAACTTCAGAAAGAGGCACCTAATGACTCAGCACCAGACTCACTGCCATTTCTCCTGGATCCCCACCTCTTCCCAACCTCTCCCCAGACTCCACAAGTCTGCACCTTCTCTTGCACTTCTGCCAATTTTAGTGAACCCAGGACTGGCCATGGGATTGGAAACCAAGACCCCAGAGATTCACAACTGCAACTTGTCTTAGTGGGTAAGACTGGATCAGGGAAAAGTGCCACAGGGAACAGCATCCTTGGAAAGAAAACATTTAATTCCAGCAATGCAGCAAAATCCAGCACCAAGGTTTGTCAGAAAGGGAGCAGCACGTGGAATGGGAGAGAAATTGTTGTCATGAACACACCTGGCATTTTCAAACTGAGGAACAGGATGCTGACATGCAAAGGCAGATTGCTAAATGCATCCTCCTGACCTCCACCGGGCCTCATACTGTGCTCTTGGTGGTCCTGCTGGGTGGGTACACAAAGGAAAAACAAAAGGCCATGGAGACTGGTTTGGCTCAGTGGATAGAGTGTTGGTCTGTGGACTGAAAGGTCCCAGGTTTGGTTCTGGTCAAGGGCATGTACCCTGGTTGCTGGCACAACCCCAGTAGGAGGTGTACAGGAGGCAGCTGATGGATGTTTTTAATTCTCTATCCCTCTCCCTTCCTCTCTGTAAAAAATTAATAATATATATATATTTTTAAAAAGGCCATGGAGAAGATGCTGTTAAATATTTGGATCCAAAGCTAGGAGATACATGATTCTCTTATTCACCATGAAAGATGATCTGGATGGCATGGAGTTCCATGATTACTTAAAGGAAGCTCCAAAAGGCATTCAAGATCTGATAGAACTGTTCAGGGGTTGTCACTGTGAGTTCAACAATAAGGCAACAGGAGCTAAGCAGAAGGCTCAGAGGGCATAACTGTTGGACCTGGTCCAGCGCATGGTGATGGAGAATGAGGGAGAATTCTCCACTGAAAGATGTACCAAAGGGCTGAAGAGGAGATTCAGAAATAGATTCAAGTGAAACAAGAAAAATACAGAGCTGAGCTGGAGAGAGATAAAAGGAAAGTAAGAGAAAATATATTTTTTTTAAAAATCAGAAACCTGGAGGATAAACAGGAGCAAGAAAAGAGAAAAGTAGAAATGGAGAGGGAATTGGCAGAAAGGGAGATTTGTTATATAAGAAGGCTTCAAGAAGCCAGAGATGAAGTTGAGAGTAAGCAAGATATTAATATACTTGACATAATCAAGGATATAATAATGGTGATCACTTTGCCTTTTTTGTTTATTCTATTCAAGAGAAATTAAGCTTTTTGAAAATCTGTTTCCTGCATATTTTCAAGTGTTCCTTCCCATATAACTCATTCCCCAAAGTCAGAGTTCTGTTTCTGTCCTTCAAGTTCTCAGGACTGGAGTGTTTAGTAAAGTTTCTTATTGGCAATTGGTAGATATCTGTTTGATTTATTTAACAGGGATGAGACACATTCTCAATTTGCAAAACTCCAAAGTAGAAAATATGGATGCTCCCTATCTTATGAACTCTTTCTTAGAGACAGAGAAAGGGAATGCAGGAGACCAACAGACAATGATTCTCTAGAGTCTTTTTAGATTGACACATAATCTCCAACTGTGGCTTCTACTCCACATTTTTGCCTTTTGGATGACAATGATCATTTTACCCATGTGGTTAAGAAATCAATTATTTGAATTAGGTAATGGATAGCTAGAGATGTTTATTGAATTCTTTCTAAATGACCATAAATTTATTGAACTACATTCTTATGGAAAGACTGAAATAGTTTCTTATCACCTTCCCACTCAAGAACAAAGAGTTGTCTGAAAAACAGATTTCTCAGAACTCAACTAAGTGAAATGCCAGAAAGAGTAAAAAACAGAGATTCAATAGCTAAAAGAACAATGTTCTAATATTGAGATATTTCTGTAGAAAGTCTTTGAGCAACCTCAAGGTAACCACTTTTCTGAATAACTAGTTCTCTTCTCTCTCTCTCTCTCTCTCTCTCTCTCTCTCTCTCTCTCTCTCTCTCTCTCTTTGGTGAAATTAACTATTGCTACTGCACCTCCATCACCCCACACCTTGATTATTTACTCTAGGTGGATCATTCCACACTGCTTCCCCTTCCCACTTCAATTATTTGCTTATTGTTACTATAATAAAAGTTTTCTATTCTATCATAAAAGAAAGAAAGAAAGAAAGAAAGAAAGAAAGAAAGAAAGAAAGAAAGAAAGAAAGAAAGAAAGAAAGAAAGAAGCACCTGTGCTTTTTTGCCAGACTTATGCTTTCTTTGAGTTGGTGAAGAGTTGAGTGAATGGGGCACCAATGCAATTCCTGGGATAAAGGCCAAACTATTAGCTAGAACTGCCTACTCTGTCTTCTTTGTTCCTTTGTATGTATTCCAGCACTTCTCATTCCTTGATGTTTCTTGATCTCCTCTTTAGAATTAGGCATCTGCCAAGATGTTCCAATTACAAGACCTACGAATGCTGCAGATGCTAGAGAAATCTTTGAGGAAATTCCTCCCTGAGTCCCTAAAGGTGAGAGTGGAATCTTCTTAGGGAAAAAGGACAAGCATCTGCCTATGGAAAAGGTGGGAGAAAGCCGCCCTCATGTTTTGGCTCGATGCCAGACAGTCCAGTTTCTCCCCGTATGAATCTGGGTCCCCAGAGTCTCACCTGGAGCTGGAATTCAGAGCAGTCTGGAGCTTGTGTCTCCCTCCTGATTGAAAAAGACAACAATGTCCTCATATTAGGTAATTTCATTATTTAAAAATTTGGTGTGACTATGTAAGCGAGTGGAATAAAATGGAAAAATATTTCACAAAATTCTACAATGCGATAGTGAATGATTTCTAATTAATTTATTTTATATATCTGGATATTTGACTACATAATATCCTCAGGGCTCAACCCAAAAAATCTATTTCTATTGGAGTAATAAAGTAGGACCTGAAGACTGATTGAAGTAGGTGCCCTACCAGTTACTTAACCTGATTTTATAGAAATAATATTCATTCTTATAAAACAGGGCACTGGCCATCTGCCCACCCTCTCACTTTCTCATGATGCTACAGGTTTATGGAACTGTCTTCCACATGAACCAGGGAAACCCATTCAAGCTAAAGGCTCTGGTGGACAAGTGGCCTGATTTTAATACAGTGGTTGTCCGCCCTCAAGAGCAGGTAAGGTACCATGTGTGGAATGCATGCACTTCTATTTGCTTTATGTGTCTACAGTGGAGACCCAAGGGACAGAGAAATGAATCATAATGATGTTGAACAGGTCCTTGTCCTCAAGGAGTTTACAGCCTGAAGGAAAGTATAGGTATTACAACATGGTGTGAAAATGTATGAAAACACTCATGAACATACAAGCGACAGAAGCAGCACTGGCTAAGAAGTGATTAAAGTCTAGATGTCAGGGTATGGAGAGAGAGGAAAGGAACCTTCCTGATAACCTTTTCACCCAAACTAGATTTTGGAGATAAATAGATTTTCGACAGATTGACAAGAACAGAAGGTGAATTCTAAGCATTTGTTTAGCATTGTTTCTCTTGCCTGTGTCAATTTCCATATTGTCATGTTCATAATCCACTTGTTCTGAGACTCTTTAAAATGGAGTAAGATTTACTCTTTCAATATAAACTTGCCTTTGATAAGAGCAATTTTTCTCCCAAGAAGTCCAGAATTACAGAAGAATTCTTTCTGAAGCAATACATGTTTGGTTGATTCAAACTTGTAATGCAAGATATAAATATCCAGTTCAGCAAGTTTTTCTTAAACACAAATTGAATAATTGATTAAATACATAATGTGGTCTTACGATGTAAATGATACACAGATAATGATAGCATGTTAAGAAAAATATCAATATATAAGTTTATAAAATAATAAAGTAGTATAATGAAAATCCTAAACTCAGGTATTCCAGTCCCTTGTTATAATCAGTTTGATTTATATCACGTTACTCAATAAAACAGGAGATGACAGACGACTTTGATCAGTATACCAATACCTACCAAATCTATTCCAAAGATCCCAAGAACTGTCAAGAATTCCTTGGCACATCAGACGTCATCAATTGGAAACAACATTTACAGATCCAAAGTAAGTAAGAAATCTGAGGTGTGTGTTAGCTGCTGGGACACCTAATGTCTAAACATGGTGGGTCACTTTTCATCTCAAGAATATTCACCTCTTACATTTATTCCTTCTACTAAAACTTAGACACTCAACTCGATATTTATTCCTTGTATCAGCTGCCACCACCTTTTTCATCAGTGCAGTAGAATTCAAACATTGCAAATTATAGAGTGTACTGTGAGCAAGTAAACTTCTGGTTAGCTGAGGTTATATTTTTTCAGTCATATTCTGGATCCCATAGGGTGTTTAGGTATAAGAGCAGAACAACCCTTGTGGCCTTCATGCCCAGAATAAGAATGATAGCACCCTGTTCCATAAAGCACATCCCAGGTGACAAGAATAATTGTTATGATCATACCCTCCAGAGTCAGGCTCTCTAGGATGGCATCCTTATTCTGCAGGTTAGTTTCTTTGTGATCTTGAACAAGTGATGTAACTTGTCCATTATTCAGTTTTCTTGGATATAAAAAAAATGAGGATACTAGGAGTATGTAAAACATAGGGTCAAGGTAAGGATCAAATGTGGTATTAGACCAATACCTGGGCATGTTCTATGTGCCCATGCAAACTTGGCTACTATTTTTTAAATTAAATAAATCTTTATTGCTTAGATTATTACAATTGTTTCTCTCCCCCATCACTTTTTTCTACATGGTTCCCACCCCAACCTTTGCCCTTACCTCCCCCCACACCATTGTCCTCATCCATAGGTGCACGATTTTAGTCCAGTCTCTTCTTGCACCTCCCATACCCCTTTCCTTCTTATATCACTTCTCCTTTGATTTCACCATCATAGAGTAGGATTTCTAATACCTCTGTTTTGCATTAGAGAAAGCATGCTCAGGCAGTGACATGGCTAAGGTCACATGGTCATTGGCAACACCAGAAGCAACATTGCCTGGATTTAAATCCTGCAAACATCCATTGGGAAACTTCTTGTATCATCTCACTTGTTTCCTTACTTTATCCCCACTAGGTTCACAGTCCAGCCTGGATGAGAATATACACAATCTTGCAGCCATTAAACATGTCAAAGTCAAGCAATCACAATGCATCCTCTATATGATGCCCAAGACAGCCAGAAGACTGCTCCCTTCCCTGCCAGAAGCAAACAACTTTACTCTTAATACTGGCAAACCCAAATCCATGTGAGTTTGAAAAAAGATGCTCTCACTACTCACACTACTACTTTCCTTCTTCCATTTACTCTTGCCTCCCTACAATTCACTTTATTGAGTTATTCTTTTAGCATGTAAGATGGATCATGTCCATTCACCCATTTAAAGTCATTGATGTTTCTCAGCTCACCTTGAATAAAGGCTAAAGCCCTTTATGGACCTTCAAGGGCCTGTGAGATCTGGAATTCATCACCTCTTGGATATCATTCTGTCTGTCTTGCTTGCTATCACCAGTGGTTCTTATTTTCCTTCTGCAACTTGATCTCATACACTCACACATGTCTTTAAGCCATGGCATATGCTCTTTGTCTACCTAAATGCCCTTCCCTCTGATCTTCATATATTTTTCTCTTTTGTGACATTCATACTCTCAGATTTCCTTAGATGGTTCTTCTCAGAGCACTATTTCTAGAACATCTCTCTTACATAATTCTTCATCACATAACCCAATTTTTATTTTTTATTGCACTTATTATGATCAGAAATTAGCTTATTTGTGTATTTACCTACCTGTTGTTTGATCCTTTCCTATGTTATTTCAAATTTTACAAGAGCAGGCACCCTCTTTATGTTATTCATTGATAGATATTCAACAACCAGAACAGAACACAGACTGGACTAGAATCTTGACAAATATGCTGGAATAAATTTGTGGAGCAAAAGTGTTTTAATAATGAGAATTTAAACAAATAATGTGTTCCACCATTGACTTCCAGTCTAACACTGAATATAACTGAGCAGTGATGGTGGAAATGAGATCTGGAGATGTCCAACCCCTTGGCCCTGTGTTTATTAATATGCCTGGAAAAGTTATATTCACATTGCATTGCACATTACACCTGAAAGATACCTCCAAATATATCATTTGATTTTTTTTTGTTCATCCCATGAGGTAGACAAGGTAGGTGATATTATCCCCATTTCCTGCCAGAAAACAGGCTTGGATAAACAAATGACTTGTTCAGGTCATGTAAAAGGTCAAGGCACAACTGGGGCTGAGTGTACATCTTCTAATTCTACATTTTTGAGATAGGCCTGTAATGCTATGGACTTCCCTCTCAGAGCTACTTTTACTAAGGATGTTCTTAATATCCCTATTTTATGAAGAAATAAATGGAGACAGAAAGACATTGTTGGTCATCTTGACCACCCACACTGCTTCTACAGAGCTCACAAAACATGCTAAAGATCACACAGCTAAGTCAGATTATGCATCCATGCTGGCTATGAGGCATTATCAAGAGACAATTTGGGGGGAAATGAATATAATCCTACACAGTGTGTGTGATATTTTCATCTCTTTTTTCTAACAGTAATGAAGAGTTGTTTAAACTCTCCTCTCTGGATGTTACCCATGCTACCCTGGTGGATAAATTCTGGCATTTCGGTGGCAATGAGAGAAGCCAGAGATTCATCAAGCGCTGTATCCAGACCTTCCCCTCCTTCTGTCTGCTGGGGCCTGAGGGAACCCCTGTATGCTGGAACCTAATGGACCAGACAGGAGAGTTACGAATGGGGGCCACTCTTCCTGAGTACCGGGGCCAGGGTCTAATAACCCATATGTTGTTTGCCACTACTCAGGCTTTGGACAAACGTGGCTTTCCTATATATAACCATACAGACAAAGCCAACAATATCATTCAGAAATGCAGTCATAATCTGCACCATATCCGCTTGCCCTGTGACTGGAATCAGTGGCAATGTGTGCCTCTTTGAAGTAGCCATGAATACAAGACAGAATTGAGTGAGTTGGTCTTACAGCAGGAGAAACATGTGGATGGATGGAAAGAAAAAAGAAATGATGATCAACAATAAAGCAGTTCATGTTTTGTGAGCTCTGTAGAAGCAGTGTGGGTGGTCAAGATGAGCGACACAGTCCCTGTTCATGAATTTCCCCTGAGTCCAGCAGACCTGGCATAGACAGAACTACAGGTTGCTGTAGTCAACCCTGATCTTGTTCTGTTTCCTACACTTGTGGATCACAGTGATACTCTTTATTAAGCTGCACACTGCCCAACACTTCTCCTGGACTCCTATCTCCATGTGAATTGTTGTCAATGGGGAAATTGGACAGGCACATTGCAAAAAAATGAAAGTAGGCCACCTTTTTTTATCCCATACAAGAATAAACTCAAAATGGATAAAAAATCTAAATGTTAGACCTGAAACCACAAAAATTCTAGAAGAAAACATAGTCAGTAATATCTTGGACATTTCTCATAGCATTATGTTTTCTGATATATCTCCTAGAACAAGGGAAACAAAAGAGAAAAAGTAAATATAACTACATAAAACTTAAAAGTTTTTGCACAACAAAGGAAATCATCAACAAAAGGTAAAGACAACCCACTGAATAAGAGAACTTATTTGTGTATACATCTGATAAGAAGTTAATTACCAAAATTTGTAAAGAACTTATAAAGCTCAATGCAAAATCTCAAAGAATCCAATTAAGAAATAAGCAAAAGACCAGAACAGACAATTCTCCAAAAGAGGACAAGCATGGCCATTAGACATATGAAAAGATACTCTATGTTACTAATCATCAGAGGAATGCAAATTAAAACCCCAATGGGATATCACCTCACCCCTGTCAGAATGACTATTATCGATAAATCAATAAATGACAAATTTTGGTAAAGATGTGGATAAAGGGGAACACTGATGCACTGTTGGAGGGAATATAGACTAATGCAGCCATTTTGAAAAGCAGTATGGAGTTAGATCAAAAAATTAAAAATGGATCTGCTTTGTGACCCAAGATTCTACTTCTAAGAATTTATCTGAAGAAACCTGAAATTTGTAAAAATAAATATTTATATACAGTATGTCTCATTTCTCCCCTATTGACACCATCTAGCCTGCCACTACCCCTCACCACGCTGTTGTCTGTGTCCATGGGTTATGCATATATGCATACAAGATCTTCAGTTAATTACTTCCCCCCCCACCTATATTCTTCCTCCTTCCCTCCAAATTCTGCTTCTATATCTCTGGATCCACTCTATTCATCAGTTTATTTTGTTAGATTTTACATATGGGTGAGATATGTGATACTTGTATTTTTCTGACTGACTTATTTTTACTTAGCATGATACTGTGCAGGTCCCTCCATGCTATCTCAAAAAGTAAGAAATTCTTCTTTACTGCTACATAGTTATTCATGATATAAATATAACAGGACTTTTCTATCCACTCATTTATAGATGGGCATCTACTGATCTTAGCTGTTGTAAATTGTGCTACTATAAATATAAAGGTGCATACATTCTCTGAAACACTAATTTGAAAGAATATGTGCACCTCTCTTTTTATTGTAGCATTATTTACAATAGCCAAATTTGAAAGCAGCTCAAGTGTCCATTAGGAGATGAGTGGATAAAAAAACCCTGTGTCACTTAATACAATATTACTCAGCCATAAAAAAAGGAAAGAAATCTTATCTTTTGCAAATGCATGAATGGACCTGGAGAATATTACTGAAAGTAAAATAGTTCAACTAGAGACAACAAATATAAGATTCCACTTAAAGGTGTATTCTAATGAACAAAATAAAATAACCAACAATATAGAAATAGACTCATAGCTGTCAGAGGAGAGGAGTAGGAAGGCTGGGTTAAAAAGGTAAAGGAATTAAGCAAAATAAAATTTCATAGACAGAAAACAATATACTAGTTATTCCCAGAAGGAATGTGATTAGGGGGACCTGGAGATGGTAAATGGGGGATAAATGATGATGGAAAAAGACATAGAGACACAACGTGGGATAATGAATATAAAATATAGTATACAGATTATGTATTTTAGATTTGTATACCGACAACTTATATAATTTTATTAACTAACATACCCCAATAAATTATATAAAATTAAATTAAAAAATAATAATGAATCTTGACAAATATTTAAGTGTTTAGCACAATATTGTTATCTATAAGCACAATGTTGTACAACGGATCTCTAGAACTTCTTCATCTTGCATAACAGACATATTTTTCCCTTTGAACAAGTTATTATGCTTCCCTCTCCCCAGCTCCCAGTAAGTTCTACTCTACTCTTAGCTTCTAGGAGTATCATTTAAATGGAATCATACAATCTTTGTCCTTCTTTGTTTGGCTTATTTACTTAGCATAATGTCTTCAAGTTTCATCTATCTTGTCACATATGGCAGGATTTTCCTCTTTTTCAAAGACTGAATAATATTCCACTGTATACACTGAGTGGCCAGATTATTATGATCTCCAAACACATAATAATCTGGCCATTCAGAGTATATCCTATATAATAAAAGGCTAGTATGCAAATTGTCCCCTTGACCAGGAGTTCAACCAGCAGACAGGCCAGCCAACCGCCCATGTCCCTTTGCTCTGGCCAGGCTGGCCAGACCCCACCAATGCATTAATTCATGCACCGGGCCTCTAATATACACTGAGTGGCCAGATTACAGACCACATTTTCTTTATCAAGTCATCTGTTGGTTGACACTTAGGTTGCTTCCACTTCTTGGCTATTGTGAATAAGGCTGCAATGAACATGGAAGTGAAGAAAGCTATTCAAGGTCCTGATTTCAACTCCTGTGGATATATTCCCAGAAGTGGGATATCTGGGTAATAAGGTAGATGTATCCTTTTTTGTGTGGAATTCTCATATTGATTATAACACTGGCTACACTATTTTACATTCTTATCACTAGTGCACAAAAGTCCCAAAATCTCTATATCTTTGTCACACTTGTTAGTTTCTGTCCCTCAAAAACTGAGCATAGAAAGAACTCAAAACACTACCAAATAAGTACTATTATTTACTGCTCTTTATATATTCAGAAAAAGAGCATGAAAGATGAGATAGTCTGTCCAAGGTCACATCATAGGTAAGTAGTGCAGTTAGGATCTCAACCCTGTTAGTTTGGCCCCATTGTCATTCCTCTGAGCCACTATGCTAAGCTGCTCCTAGCATCATTGCCAGCACCTCACTCCATCACTCAGGGAAAAACACGGAGATGAAGACTGACACAAGAGCTTCTGAACCCTTTCCCCACAGAGTGTAAGAAAATTTACATTAATTACTTCATGTAACACAGCAAGGATACAAGCATGGAGACAAGGAAGAGCAGAACAATTCTTGGTTACCTGGTACAAAAGCACTCTTGACAGTTGGGGAAACAACCTTGGAGAGGTTAAGAAACTAGTTTAAGATACAGGGCTTGGGGGTAGAGGCCCTGGAATCTTCTGAGTGACTGGGTGCGGGTGATAGCTGAAGGAGAGGACTAGGGGTCTGACTTCTAGAACTGGGTACAGAAGGATCCCAGTCTTTTGTTGTAATCAACTTTAGTGAGATACAGACACTACTGGGGTCAAGGGGTCTACTCTCCTTTGATAGTAACAGAATAGTTTCATTGGCCTTTGTCTTTAGAGAAAGAGTAATAAATGATCATAATGACTTTAACCCAGGAGATAAGGTTGAAAATTAATAGTCTAGGAGGGACACGACTCCTAGAAAGGACAAAAAATATATATGTATACAAACCTGTGTTGTGCTGATCCATGGAGTGAAGGATCATTCAAGCTCTTCTTATGTTCTCTCTGGACACCAGTTACACCTGTCTTTGCTTCTCTGGTTAAAGTTACTCTTGTTGCCTCCACACTGAAACTCTAATGTGGTAAACAAAAATTAACATTGATGAGGACAAGATATAGTGTCAAACTTCTTTCCTTAGTTGTTTCACATAGTGGCTTTGGTATTCAAAATATCACTTCTATGAATTCCCTTTTCTTTTCTGAGGATGGTACAGCAAGAGTTAATGTGGGGCAGTGAGCACATTGGAATAAAGAGTCTCTGGGTTTAAATTCTATCTAATTCAGCCACACTGAGACTCAGTTTTCTTCTTTATAAAAGTAAGATTAAGCCCAGCTGGTGTGGCTCCAGGGTTGAGTGTCTACCCATGAAGCAGGAGGTCACTGTAAGATTCCAGGTCAAGGCATATGCGTAGGTTGTGGGCTTGATCCCCAGTGGAGGAGGGAGGTGAGTAGTCAGCCAATCAGTGATTCTCATCATTGATTTTTCTATCCTTTTCTCCTTCTCCCTTCTTCTCTCTCAAATCAATTAAAACAACTTTTTTTAAAAAGTGAGATTAAGAAGTGCCCACATTGAGTCATATTTAGGATGCTTATCTGCAGCTTCAGAATGGACAGTGGAGAGGGCACCGCTTATACGAAAAAAGAAGGGTTCTAACAGTTTTAGTCACTCCATACATGTGATATTCTGTTCTGCGTATGTATAAGAAAATAGATCTGATTCTGCAAATCAGATATCATCTATATCTTGTATACTACCTTGCTCTTATTGCAGGTACTTGAAAATGAGAAGGGAAGGAAGAAGGCATTGTCTACACAATCTTACTCTCTTATCAGTATCTGGCCTGGTGGTTTCACATACATTTTGCAGAGTCATGGCAGGGCCTGTGGGGCCAAAGAGCAATCTGGAATTTGGTAGGGGGTAGCTCTGATGGCAAACTGTCAGCCTTTGAAGTTTGAAGAGCCAGTTCCTTCACCCTGAACGCAGAGAGGAAGGGTTGAAGTTCATGATAGCTGACACCAAAAGATATTGCTTTGCTCACTGTCCACCTTACAAGCCTCAGTTCAGCAATTTCTGGAAGAGACATACTGAAATGCACTCTTTTAGGTCCTGTTGAACTGCCTGCAGAAAGAGGTAACTGC